ACTGATTCAAATTGTTCAAANACTTTTGCAGGCATGTCGTGTCAACATTTTAGATGCTATCAGAGAGGATAAATCTTCGACCGACTCCTGATTAATGGTATCCCACTGTTCTGGTTCCACTCGACTCCTGGTCAGCGCACCTTAATGGTCTATGGTATTGTGTTTCGGTGGTTTGCGAATGTTAACACGACATAACATGAATGACTTCAAAACAAGCCTTGTGAATTTTACTCGAATAAATGGCAGGCAGCTGGAGTTTTGACATGGAAGGTTGTCCGTCTGCTCCAAGTTCCATTTTTGTTAAATACATACAAGAATCCGACTTCATAATTACACGGAGGATGTCCGGAGACTTTCACCGATAAATAGAAACGTTGCATCTTGTCACTTGCTCACCTGGTTTGAGACGAAGTGGTGATAGGCCAAGCCAAATCTGCCTCAATCTGGACAGACATAGTACAAAGTTGGGAAGTGCATTTTTTTTATTCTTATACATAACATTAATAGGACAGCTGACAAAACTTGCATGTATTCACATTCCCATAGTAGCTCGAATCTGCTTTATGTTGGGTTTGTCGTTCTTTTTTTTTTTTCCAGCCGACACCGAGATATGATTATCTTAGAATAGAACAATCACGCTCTGGGAGGAAACGTTTTACCACTCTGTACAGGAGTTGATTATTCCATGTAGACTCTTCCCTTATCATAAACTTCACTGTTTGTCCATGTTCATATCTCGGAAATTGCGCATTACAACTTGCTCTTGAGGAATATTTCAGGGCTTGCAATGCCTGATTACATTCTGCTATTGTTTTACTTGTTAACGGTAACGCTTTTAGTTTTGGAGAGGTCCTACTCTTCTTGAAACCGGGAGTGACCAAAGTTATTTGCCTAATTTCGTTCCATGATAATCCTTCTGGGCAGTTAATATTTGTCAACAACATAGTTGGTGATGCAAAAAGAAGAGGAGGTAAGAGAATTAAATATTATGAAATATGATAATAATACCATCAATATCATGAGAAGTAGGATGCAGGAAATTACTAGGAGCATCAAATCGGATGCAGTGAAGCACTGCCAAACGAGATACGGCTCACGATATTAGTCACCGAACGTTTCAGTTCAGTCAATCCAAAACCAGATCATCTCTGACTCGAACCACCAAAATTCAACCACCTAACTCATGTCAGTTAGAATTTCTGAAAATATGTCCCGCGTTACTTATCATGTCCTCTTCTGTACCTTGACGGAACATGGGGATCAGATGGATTTTCCGCCATGATTACAGTACCGTCATCTACAAGGTGAGTACGGTATTGAAAATAAAGTTGGGAAGAAAAGTAAATAACTTTCTGGACATTTACTGTAAATACTAAAATGAGTTTGATGTACTTCTTCCTCATTAGTACTGATGAAACCCAGACATGCTACTTCAGTAGCAATTGAACTCTATCATTTATGACTATCGCTATAATTATGGACTGTTATCACTGCAGAAAGTCCCTTTTTTCTTTGGTTTTCCATTAATCGGCATACGAGCAACAGCAGCAGTAGTGATAGCCAAAGCGTTCGTTCAACAACATAGTAAGCGTACAATCCCAAAATTCTCGTTATCACATTACCGGCATCCATAACTTTACACTTATTCCCCGCACTCATTCTTGGTTGTGGAATTACAAACTACTTGGTAGGAACAAAGGGTGATAAGTTGCTTTCTCCCAGCTCTTTCTGTTTCAAACAGTTCTCATAACAATGAAAAAAAAACGAAGTGAACAAAACCTGCTAGGGAGTTCTATGTCCCTATGACAAAGCCACATTAAAAGTTCTCAATTTACCTGAATAAATACAGAGATTAGTGAAGGGGTAACAAAAGCCATTGCAGCGAAAAAATCCTGCTTGTCTATTTTGGCTTGCAAGTTAAAGGTTAATCTTTTGATGCACTTCAGGAACAGATTTACTCGGCTATAAAGTTCCAGAATTCCAGCTTACTCGGACAAAAATGAAACCTTCTACCAAAGAATCCCAACTAAAAACAATATTTCTTTCTTCCTCATTCCCTTTGAGATCAAGTAATTCAGACTACGATGCCAAGAAAATAGGATCCTGATCCTGCTACAAAATCAAAGGCGTTAGCAAGTCCTGAAAAGACAACCATGTTAGCCGATACCAACAATGAGGCCAGTGGCACATCTAATCGGAATTACAAATAAGTAAATTCGCTATTTCTCTTTTCACTCGCAAGTGACTATCTACCATTCAAAATAAAATGAGGTCTTAATTTTAATGAAAAAAACTTGGGAAAAATATAATCACCTGTTGGCAATGAAAAGGCAGGAGGAAACTTTTCCAAAATTTGATTGCCAGAAGTACGTTTTTTGTGATGATATTTTTGGAGCTCTGGCAAGATCATTTCGGATTACTGGTTTTGTTAAATAGCGATGAAAATTTCGTATAATAAATAAATAGATCGACCGTCTTAAAGGATTATTTTTAAGCAACATATCTTTGTGTGGTAGTGATCATTACGGTGGTGCCTTAAACACTGTGGAAGCAAAGAAAGCTTTTTAAAGCACTGAACATATTATGAAGAAACTGAAATGTGAAATGAAGCTCACTGTATTTCCATTTATATCATTCAATATCACAGAGCTATTAACGTCACCAGTTGTACCTTAGATAGCAATTCTGTTACAATTGATATGGTATATCCATCATTACCTTCATTACTTCAATGATTACCATTATCGTTAAAGCATATCTCTTTCCCCAAGTTTCGTTTTTTAGTTGTTTAGTTGTGCCGTTCATTACTGATTTTAACGCGGCTTTTCGAATCATTCGGGAGATTGTCATCTGGAAAAGGAAGCGATGAGAGGAATAGGTGATAAGAGGGATGGTAATGCCTCTATCAACGCAAGAGCTTTTCGATTGCAAGTTATCATTATTATCACCACAACTTTTCTGTTATACAAACAAGTTATTTACAGCAGGCAGGTTGATGTGAAGTCTCGGCTAGTGACAGCTACGCTACTGGAGCAACGAAAAAAGTGAGGCAAAAAAAGGAGACAAACAGGAAATAGTAGATAGCACAGCACAGCACAACATACACACATAGGTAAAATGGGGCGGTGTTCATTTTGCTGTACTAAATAAACAAGACCACCCATGATTACATGATACTACTCCACCTGCTGTTGCTGTTTTGATGTTGATTACGCGGTTGGCTTGTTTGCTTCATTGTCATCGTCCCCCTCCTTCTCCATACTTTTATTGTCTCCTTGATATTTTTGTTTCTGTGAGCATGACGTATTACGTGAAATGATCAATCTATTGTCATCAGCAGATAGCAAACAGGGAACTGTGATTTGTTAAACAACAAGTTGGTGAGTGTTGCCTCATTGAGCAAATAATAACTGAAGATTCGATGAGAGGGGCTTTCCAGTAAAGCTCGTATCCTTTTTCTTGGCACTACTAAAAGTTGCCAGTTCTTGTTGTTATGTCGTGCAGGTTCTATCCCAACCAAATGGAACTGCCATTCTCACTGGACGAAAAAGTAATGCGGTTTAGATGTCTAAAGCGTCATATGTGGTACTTATGGGGGGATTTCATCTGATGTCATTTCATTTAGGGTCAAATTGTCAAAGTGTTGACGGTGTAGCTCCAGCAATCATGACACGTATTGATTTAAAATAATTTGATGAATAACCAATCTTGGAGTGGCTTACTCCCATACATACAAATATAGTGCTTATTGTACCTCTGGTTTCGGTTGATGGAATATTGCGATCGAATTTTCGTTTACGACGATGGAGTCATATGACCCTGGACACTGGACAGAGGGGAACTACGCACCTGTGATATGATGGGAGAACTGAGTTGTTACGTATTAGTTGTTACTATCATGTTATTGTTGTTGTGCTGCTGCTATTGGCGATGTCGTCGTGAAATTTGTATGTGGGCGCATGATAGCAGTGAGACATAACGCAGAATTATAATAAGAGGAAGAGGGAACAGAAAAAGAGAGGAGTAAACAAATGGGTAATAACAGTTATTGAGTGAAAAGGAGGCAACAACGACAACAACAACATCAACAGCAAATAACTGCTATGATATCACCACACAACCAACGTCACTCCTGTGCTTTTGATGTCCCGACTAACTTCATGATCCTTAAGCACTGCCACTGTTATCACTGCAAATGTACCACTGGTACAGCCCTTAAAATTTTTTACACAGGATTCGGAGTCTTTCCGTTCTGGGGTGCTTGTTGATGGTCTAAAAGTTGTAAGGTGTATTTTCAGCATATGTCCTATAGGCTATAAAGTTGTTCTATATAATGTCCCGTTATTTTTTATATCCATATTTTCTCCCGGTTTTTCTGATACTACTTCAGGCATATCCAATACCATTAAATATAGTAACTACTGTCTTTCTCTTCCCCGTAACTATTGATCTTTGCGTCTGAATCACTGATCCAGGCTTCCCTATTTTTTTTTTATCGTGGCCTTTGTTTATAACTTCATTTCTGTCTGCCATCATCTAAACGCTTCAGGAAGCAGCATCCATTTGGTTCCGAATTTAGCTATTTACTCGACTTCTTCCGGAATTTCGTAATATTCATCAACTATTGTTCTAACATCAATAACAACAACGTTTGCTAAACTTAGTGATTCATCCCTTATCGCCGTCCAAGCGGTTTATTTTCCTTTTTTTCCGCTAAGGACAATTTTTATTCTAACAAAAACTTAAAAAAGAAAGGTAAGAAGTAATTATATTTGTTCGGGGATGTTTACAAAGGATCCATAGACAACGATACAAACACACACAGACAGAATTGTGTACACACGTATTTGATATGTGTGGGTATGTTTGTGTATGTCTGTGTGTGCGTGCGTGGGTGTGTGTGTGGTAAATGTGTGTGTAGGTGTGTATATATGGGTGGCTGAGGAACGGGTTGTTGACAAAGTGGGGTTGGTGTAGGTTTGGCGGCGCGGTAAAATCGAAAGTGATGGATGATGCATATGAGATAAAAATACCGGTAAGACACGTGTGCCACGTTTCTTATTGGCATGTTAATGGACACACGGTAAAACGTGCACACATACATGCACATACTTGCATATGTATGCACATACGGACACAGAATGAGATATTACTTATGATGGTGCTCCTTACTGCTTACTTTACTGCTGGAGTCGGGAGAGTTAAGGAAGAAATGAACATACAGGGAATGGCATCCCCTTGTCCCCCTCCAGCACACCACGGAGGAATGTCTGACGTATGGCAGTGTAGCATGAACACTCATCTGTTTACATTTAGACGGCGGGGGGAGGAGGAGGTTGAGGGGTAAACAGGGGAGTAAACAAGGCCCCTGAGCCTATTGCACTGCTGCTTGTGCTGCTGCTGTTGTTACTGCTGCATTCGTCAAGTGAGTTTGTGCAAAGCGCAGCTGCTCCCTCCGATCCCCGTATCTCTACCCGCCCGCTCTCCATGGAACAATCGGTTCGTTTTTTGCTAAGCAATAAAAAAGCGAAAAGGCGGCCCCTCAGACCCCTCTTTTTCCCATAATGAAAGCTATTGGTATTTTTTGACAAGTTCTCATATAAGCATTGCATTTACACTGACAGCGAAAACGCATCCTTTTTGCTCTTTATAAGGATTAATTTGTGATTCTAGAATTGACTGTATCACTGTATAGACCTGTGAATGTATGCTGGGACGGATAATTGCGGAAAAGATGTAGGGTTTAATTTTTGAAAATCTAGATTTGAGTTTCAGAAAAAATATTAGAAATTTATAAGTTTCATAGTATCTTCGCATGAGTTGCGCTGATGAACCTAACCGATACGAGACATTCATTTTTATTTGGCAAGGGAGGGGGAGGAGGAAGGAGGGAGAATGTCTTCTCTTCAGAGACCAGAACGGACGGATCTGTTTATGATTGCATAACGAATCAGCAACAACTCAACTTGGTCTAAACAACTCGATTTCTTTCCAGGGGTCACCAAACATTTCAATCAACTCTAATTCAAGTCAAGACGTCCTAGCTCACGAGTTAAGCGCGATGCAACGCAATGAACAAGCACAGGTTAGCGGATATTTTACGTATTTTACTCCTAGCATGCGCCGTGCTTTTTTTTTTCGTTTACCTGAGCATTTCGGATTGTCCCATTTTAAATTTTGGATTTTACCGCCAAATGTGGTTGTGTGTGACAGCTGGTTTTCCTCTGTGCACTTTTCCGAAATGTGGGAATTACCGACGTTGAAACGATATGAGGTATGCCATAAAATTTTTGAATGGAACTATAGAGTAGGAAGAAAATGGGTAGTGCTTTTCCGTAAGTATGTTTTTACTAAGGCTGAGCAAATGTTTTTGTTGGCATTACACGAACGCTTGGCTCAGCAGCTGCGACCTCAGACGGAACTTCAACGGATTTGGCAGAATATGATGCTTGGTCTGCCAACTTTATTACCACCACTGGACTTAACAGCTTTACCGGGCACCAGCCAAGCTTTAATGCACCCGCTCTACCAGGTTAGTTGATATCTTAGTTTTTGAAAAGCCTTGAAGTCCCAATAAGCTTCTTCAACTAGTAATAGTAAGTATTCTTATTCTTCATGCTCTTTACAGCCAATATCATGCTCAACTCCTGGTTCTCCTGCTCTGTTTCCCTCTGATAGATACCATAATAAACGAATGCGTACAACGAGTAAACAAATGCATTAAAATTTGTCGCTGACCTCTGTCTTTTGCTCATTGTTGATCTGTATAAGGTGGGAATACTGCAAACACTTGCATCCATTTGTTGGGACGTTCGGTGTTCTTCCTCCATTGAAACAGATGACTGGAGTGCTGCTGTATCCTCATCACATGTCATTAATTTGTTAAACTGTCCTGTTGCATTTGCCAAATATTCTGGTGAAAAATGTGGTGATATATTGTACATAGATATAGTGGAGTTTGCAGTTGTCTTCAATATTTAGAAAGAGGAAAGAAACTGATATAGTACGGAGAATCTGAACCATAACTGATCTATTTTTTTTTATCCTCGAAGATTGTGGACTTTATAGTAAATTTGTATGATATTTTTGTCCTCTTAGTGCGTAGTAATTAAATGTGAAATTATATGTCATCAATGGTAATGATACTGGTTTCCATTAAATGCGAAAGGAGCGGAGAAGTTGGAATGATGATAGTGGGATAATTCGATATCTGTATATATTGCTGGGACAAATGAGTGACAATCCTCGCATGTTTTAAGGGTAGAGAAGAGGTTATAACGGTGAAAGTTAAACGGTTATTGTTTATCATACGCACGCATACGGATTGTCTTTACTTGATTAGTAAATAACAACATTCGAAGAGGAGAAATGGTGTGAATGAAGCAAACAAACGCATTCGATTGTGAAAAATATGTACACGTTTTACACATAGAAGAGGTTAATCCTTTCCTCTTTCTATATTATCCCTCCTCTTCTACTTTCTCCCGCAGCTCTATTCTACCCTTCGCCGTTTGTTCATTCTGAAACTCGTAAACATCTGTTCCTAACTCTGTTGGAATTTATCTTCCCGATTCACACTTTGTTTTGAGATGTGTTGATGATTTGGGACAGAAACTTAGGAATCCTTACCCAACATTTCCATTAATGGGAGCTACCGTAATAATCTCTCATTTGTTTTTCCTTTGATAAGTTCAGGATTGCGACATTTTATTGTTGATGGTGGTGATGCGAGTGATGTTAGCAGTAACAGTGGCACCTTTTATTAGTGGTAATGGAATGTGATGTGAGGAAAGCGGTGGTGCAGTGGAAATGCTGATATGAATGATAATAATGATGTTGAATAATAGAAGTGACCAAAATAAACATATTTTAGCGATTACGATAAGGCTGTATAGTAATGATGATAGTGGCAACTGATAGTAGTAATAATTATGATGTTGAAAATGTTTCAAAAAATGTGGGTAGAAACGAGCTGTTGTGTGTGCGCCTATTATTTGCTTTATTAGAAGAGCAGAAGAAAAACTGCAAAACGAGGGACGTTTACTTTTAAAAAACAGATAAATGAAGGTTTAAAAAGGATGCCGCAATATAACTTGTTCACTAAAGTGACAGGAGGTGTACAGCTGTGACGATAATTGAAATAAGTAACAGTGTGAAGTATTCGAGACAGATGAAAAAAGTGGAGGAATGTACGATGAATTTACGCTATATCCTCTTCCGTAAAAAATTCAATTTCATGCTTTGTCTTACTTTTCCTTTTTCATAAAAGATTTATAAACAAAGGAAAACGAATAGAACGAAATTATTTCTTAATGCTTACATATTGCTTATTTAAGTGTAATAAGTAACGCGAAAAAAAACAATTTCCTAAGCATTATATTCGATCTCCTAACCTCCTTCACCCTCTTCTCCTATCATCTTAGCATTGCTACTGCAGAATTCATTTGCATTCAGTTGCCTTCCTGAGTATATTGCTGCAACAATGACAAAAAAAGCCTGGAGCAGTCATTAGCAAAATTTATATTTTAAACTTCATTAAAGTTTCATTTTCCAATTTATTTGGTTGTTCTTCGAAATTAAGTTGTGGTAAACAAATAAGTGATTGAAGGGTTCGTTTCCATACTCAGGCAAATAAATTAGTTTCGTTTCCTTGTGTGTTTATTTATAAACATTACGTACACATCGTACTTCTTGAGTTATATTTATATTAGGTAGAAAATTAGATAAAATCCTTAAATGGTCGGAAAGCAGAACCTTCTTGTTTAGGAAAATTTGGAAAAATGAAAATCAGAAACAAATTTGCCGTTTTACATTCATTACAAGTATTCATTCTGAATGTCAACATGGGAAATGAAGGAACTGAACACACAAAAAGGCAAAGAGAAGATTGATCGACGAGTTTAAGACAAAAAAAAAGTTTATCCTCAAAACAATTGCAAAACTGTGTTTTTTCAAACGTTTGCTGTAACATTTGTATTTCTCGTTTCATTTCACTATTCCATTATCTAACGTCTTTTGGATTACTCTTGCATATCTATTTATTCTGACTCATTAATCATCCATTTCTGAATAGGATTCGTACTCATACTTTACTTCTGAATCTACATTTTGAATCTTCCTTCAAATCCACTTTGAATCTTGAATAGATTTTAATAAAAACCGACGCCACAGAATGTGACATTTAAATGAGTTACAGAAACTGGAGATTTTTTTCCATAAAATATTTTAATATGCTATGACCATTTCATATACCAGTTGATGTAATAAACTATTATAACATCCGTGAAAATTTTTTTATGTATGATAAGTATTCACTTGAGATCTATGTTGGGTTAACATGATGACTACAGAAAAAAGGCGACTGTGAGAACCATCTAGAATATTTTATCGTAATGTGGACTAATGAGAGTGGATAATGTAATCTGGAAGCGGAATAAAATTCTCCAACACTTTAAGTATGCTAAGAAAATGGTATGATTAGCAGTCGTGAATTATACAGGACTATCCGTAAGTTCAAAACTGTTCGGTTTGCTGACAATTCCGTTAGAAAGATTTTCTTTCATATTTTGCACTTCTTAAGTTTATGAATTTCAGTTTCCTGATTTTCCTTTTTTTTTGTTTTGTTTTTCAGCATAACCTATGCACTTGGCCACAGTGTGACCAGCCGTGCGAAAATTTCGCCACGTTTTTGCATCATTTGGCAACGGTGCATACGCTCGATGAACGATCCGCGCAGCAGTGTCGCGCTCAAATCGAAGTAGTGGATAACCTGGAACATAGGCTTAACAGGGAGCGTACTCGTCTGCAGGCCATGATGCAACATTTACACATGAAACAGTCACCTGATACCACCACGCCAACCATAGGCACGTTACAGCAGTCACAAGATTCAGCATCTATCCCATCACCAACGCTTGCAGAGCCAAAAACTGAATCCTTACCCGATCAGGTTGGTCATCCCTATCGACTATTTCTTTCAGCTCGTTGAACTTTACAGATACTTATCCTTTCTCAAATACAGGGAATCGAATCCTGTCGCTGATATTTTCGACACTTGTTCGTGGTGCTGTTAATTCAGGGATTGAAATGATTGGATTCTGGCTCTTGGGTTGAGTAATATGAGGTTAAGTACAATTCTCAAGTTCACATTAATTTGTGGAAGAAGGTCAGTTCGTCTCGCAGGTGCATTAAACTCAGGGATTACTCAGAAATTGTTTTTCACCTTTTTAACTTCACTCCAACAGCAGGAAAGTAAGGATTTATAAATTATTTGGGAGGTAAGTAAATGTAGAAATTGATAACTTCCATAATATTAGATGGAGAGAAGATATTAGTGAGAGCTCTGAATTCATGTTTATTGAAATGTATGATTAAAGTCTTATGCCTTTTGATATCCGTTCGAATTTCATTTAATAAAATTAATCGAGATTTGGCAGAAAGCGATGGTCTTTTTCTTTCCAAATGAATTTGGCATTAATTAACCATTCTTGATACTGGGTGAAAGGTGCACATCGGAATTCAGAAATGAGAAAAAGTTTGATTTATTAGTCTAATCGAAATTGTACTTTCAGCAGCAAACGATCTTGTCATTATCATTACCGAGCGTGTCAAACATTGAAGATTCACAACAACAACAGCAAGAGCAACAGCAACTGCAGCAGCAGCAGCAGCAGCAGCAGCAGCAGCAGCAGCAGCAGCAGCAGCAAGCACAGCAGCAGCAGCAGCAACAACAACAACAACAACAACAACAACAACAACAACAACAACAACAACAACAACAACAACAACAACAACAACAACATCAACAACGACAACAACAACAACAGCAGTCCCAGCAGCATCATCATCGTACAACTCCGACACCGCGGCGGAAAATCAACGACAAAGTTGTTTTACATATTTCAACCGATATAGCACGAAACCGTGAATTTTATCGGACACATGATGTACGTCCACCATATACGTATGCATCTC